ATGCTGTGCTCGCCGTTATCCCGGGGGGTCTGACAAAGGAACTTCAACCGCTCGACATCGGAGTGAAGCGGCCGTTCAAAGTAAGGCTGCGAGCGGCGTGGGAGCGATAGATGACAGACGGAGACCACAGTTTCAGGATAAGTGGAAGGCAGCGCCGGGCAAGTTACGCCACCGTTTGCGGATGGATTGTAGATGCTTGGACTAACGTGTCTGCTGGCTCTGTTGTTCAAGCTTTCGCAAAAGCCGGCATCATTTCTGAGGAGCCGCGCTGCACGGAAAGTGAATCTGACAGCAAAGAAGGGGAAATTGGCATGTCTGATTTAGCGCAGCTGTTTAATTCAGAAACAGAGGATGATGACTTTGATGGGTTTGATTAATACTTTGTAATAAATACATGAATAAAGCACAATCATACTCAGTTTTGCTCCCGCTCTATTTTTCTACCTGAAAACTTAATTCAACAGCAGCCTCTGGGCGGGTCTCCTCCTCTTCACCGCGGCGGCTGGCAGGTGTTTTTTCATCTAAATAATCTAAATCTTGCAGCTATATTTGCTGTGATCAGTGGGAATAAAGTAGTTTTAATATGTTTTTAAGTGAGAAAGTCCACCTGAAAACTTAATAATTGCAGTCAGTTCATCCAGATTATCTATTTCTGTCGGAGGCGCTCAGACCCCCACATACCAGCGGTGCGCCGACAGGAGAAATCCCTTCATCAGCAGCCTCTAGGCCGGGCAGCCTCCGGGTTCACGCGGCTGCTGGCAGGTGTTTTTCATCTAAATAATTTTAGCTGCATGCACCAGGATACCGGTAATAAAAGCGAACATATTCCGTCGGCAGGTTTCAGGATTTTAAGTTAATTTAGGAGTAATCACAGCGCTGTGTCATCTGCGATGTGTCTGTCTCACGGCCAGCTCCCTGCAGGTTTGATTAATACTTTGTAATAAATACATAAATAAAGCACAGTCATACTCAGTTTTGCCCCCGCTGTATTTTTAAATACGCAGTAGAGGTATTTAAAGGTAGTAGAGGACATGTACCTGTATATAAAAAACGCGCCCTATAGTCCGGTGCGCCTTATGTGTGTGTTAAATACAGAAATGGGACACATAACTGAGACTGCGCCTTTTAGTACGGTGCGTCTTATGGTCGTGAAAATACGGTAGGCTTATGTGCTTCATATATAAATGTCAAAAATATCTACAGTAAATAAATTCCAGTCCCAATGTAAACATCGTTTACATTTCCAAGTATGAGCCTGGCTGTCAGAAAAAATATTTCTTTTGTAGATTTACTTCGTACCAAAATCTGCTGTTAATTTTGAGAAAAAAATAACTATTTCAGAATAAATAAAACACAAGGCTAATCAAGTTTTGCTACTTTTCAACAGAGGACTTGTAATGTGTAACAACAAATTATTACCAGTTAAATATGCTCTGTACTTTCACTGTGATAAAACAAGTTGAACTTGTGGGACTAAACAGTAAATCAGCTTCTCTCCTTTTGTATATGGGAAAAAAAAACTACAATTGCAGTTTTGATCATATAGGTGCCACAAATCAAACAGTTTTATCTTATAATTAAAAATACAATGATAAACAATTTAAAATAACTGTGAATAATAAAGAAAGGTAAGACGTGTATTTGCAGTTGCATGATGTTGTTATAATGGACTAGAGAGAGGTCAGGACACCCAAAATAAGCATAAAAACATTAAAAACAGTATGAAAAGTTTTCACTTGATATTTATTGATCTTGATCAGAGATCTAAAATTATACTTTTTTTTTTTTTTGCTGAATTCAAATATCCAGATTTATCAATGTTTCTCTGGGGAATTAGGCATCTAAAATGCAACACACCCCTCCATTGTTGTCCTGTTTTCGGCTCTAAAGCAACACCTTTAACAGTTCACCTTCACTCCCCTCCAACTTAACATTAACTATCTGCAGATAATAGGCAAGCCATGTGTTAAAACTTGGTGCTACAAGTTGATTTTTGTGTGGATTTGTCTTATCTAAACAAACATGGATACGTGTGTTATATCGAAGCCACGGTATAAGTGTTTTTTTTTTTTTTTAGATGAAGATATGGAGGATAGTTAATTTGTTGTGTCAGTGGTGGTCGTGAGCCCCACAGAGGGTCAGCTCGTCACTCAGGGTCAGTTAATGCAAATCAAAACATGTCAGACAGTAGCAAACAGAATGTGACAACAGCTTAAGCTTTGTGCAATGCAGTTTTAAATTAGTCATGACCCTATCGATGCTCCCCCATCCTGCAACACTGCACCAATCTCTGCTCCCCCAAAAAGAGCCAAACAACACCAACCTTCTCTTGAAAAGTAATGCCATATATTAAACGTTAAAAAACTACCTGACAAAATAATATCACCAGACCTAGATTTTTGTTTTTTACTTTTTAGTAGGTGTGTAATCTTTCTGAGAGACTTATGTGATAAGGAGCCAAAGCTTTACTCAACAAGACGTTCATAAATAGCAACAGGCTTGTGCACTCAGTCATCATCTCTTTTCCATGTTATGGCTATTTTTCCTCCCCCTTAAGGCTTCCATTGAATAACTTCATCATATTTTGAAAATGCAAAAAGACTTCACTATTTAAGTTAAATTGTACCCCACAAAGGCTCAGCCTGAAAAACAAGAAAACAAAAAATCCAACAGCACAACTCTGACTGACACTGAACAGCTTTGCCTCCTGGGAACCAGTCAAAATACAAGAAATCATCTCAGTGGTTGGTTGAGGGCAGATAATATGTAGTTTTATCAAGGTAACCAGCAATTTGTACTGTAATCAGCAGATAGGGTCTCCCTGCTCCCCAGTAACTGGACCTAAAATGACCAAAACAAAGATCTTCTGCAGGGGACAGCGAAGAAACGTGTTATTTATTCATCTAATTCTTTGACTGTTGCTCATCTCTTCCACATACTAATGCACTCCTTGACAACCTCTCATGCTGCCAACAGCAAAACCTGCCACTTAGATCAGTATTTATCATTACCAACTGTTGATTTTTTGCCTACGTATTATTTGTGTGTCACATGCATAACATGATGGTTTCCTTTGGTGATGATTAAAAGACCATCTTAAAAGTGCAGACATGGTTTCTATCTTATGTGTGTGTGTACGTAGACGTTTGCTTTTTAAGATCTGTTAGATTCACGTCAGTGGAAGTTGTCCACCTACACACACAAGCAGAGTGCCTACACAAACGCACAGAGACAGACACAATGCTAGAAATAGCTGCTCTATATTTGAATGAGTACAGTCAGAGTCAATCTCTAATCAATGTCCCAGCTTTTCTGTCTGCTGTGGACTGAAAGCCTAAACACACTGCTGGATGGACCGATAACAATGTTAGAAATTTGAAAAATATAACTGCAAAGAATACATTTCCCATAGGAAATAAAAGAATCTTCCCTTGTCTTGCAACTTTAGCAGAACCCATCTAATTCCTGGGATTTTCTAGAGAACATAAAAACATTGTTAACCTACTGTATGACACTCTTGTTTTTAAACCAAAAACTGTGAAATTAGCAAACCCCTCACGCTGATTAAAGCTGTTAAAGGAAAATAGTGATCAGAAAAGTTTGATTGCATAGATCAAGAGAAGATCTGTCTCTTAAACCTCTGTTTTAAAATATCTGTACGTTTAAAGTGGGATTTTGCATGTAATTTCCATCAATACAATCATGTTTTTCTAATTCCCTGGCAAGCTTTGTTTTTATGATCACCCTTTCTCCCCCTTAATTTTGTTAAAAAGAAAAATCAGCAATCAACAGAAAATAAGAATCTAAAACTTAGTAAGTAATCCCTTGTCATAAAAAACATTACTTCTTCGACAGCTGATTTCATAGGCATACAAATGAGTATAATGGCCTTTATCATTTGCAAAAAAAAGGCACATTCAGGTATAGAAAAATGTTTTTCATTCAGAATTCTCTGCTAAAAAATACTGAACTGCCAATCATTTTTTATGACTTTCACATTAGGCATGAAAACGTCTTAGGTAGGGCTGAAACAATTAATCGGTTCTACCATGATTAATCGATCATCAGCTAATTTAATAATCGATTACTCGATAATTGGGGTATAGTGACTTTAAAATATGCCTTAATTTTGAAAAAAAAATCTTCTTAAAGTAACCTTTGGCTATCCGATTATTAATCAATTTACTGAAAAAATACTAATCAACAGATTGATCGATTTGCAAAATAATCATTATTTACAGCACTAATCTTAGATATTAACCCAAGGATCAGTTGTTATTTTTTTCTGTTAAAATCTACATTAAAAATAAAGCCCTGGTCTGTTATGAGACACATGTACCTAAGCTGTATGACATGTTCATGGAGTTTGGATGCAAAGTCTCACAAGCTTAGTTGTGTTATAATGTTGTCAGTTCCTATAATGGCTCAAATATTACAGCACTATAACATTTTGCAGCTCATGTGGCTCTAATCCAAATGATAAATCAGAAAGTCCATCCCTCCTATTCATTTAAATTTTACAAACTGTGGATCTATACTAACATTAAAGCAGAAATGTATTAGAAATAGTGGGAGTCATACACCCTGCTGACTGTAGCTAATGATAGACAATATAACACAAAGTTACCAAAAAATCCAGGAAATGTATCACTTTCTAAATTGCAGCGCAACTTTCTACTAGTAATATTTTTTTTTTTTTACCAAAATAGGTTATTCTCATTTTTATGCTAAAGAAGGCTATGCTTACAAAAAACAGTTCTACAGTGAAAAAGGTGAGACTGTGTTTTAGAGTTGGTATGGAGTTTGGCATTTTAGTATCATGAATAGGTAGGATGATAGGCAGAATGGTTCCACACAAAAAAGAAAAATAATTATACTTATTAATACATCAACTTACTTTGTTTAAACACATTTACAAATCCATGTCTGCAATGTGACTCCATATTTAAGTTTGAGATCATTTGCCCCCCGATACACACTATGCAAGAAAGAGGTCTTACCGGTTGCTTTTGTGATACTATCTTGGGTGCTGTTAGCCAGTGTCCCTACAGGAGCTGGAACAGGAAGTAGAACATTGGTCTCACAGCTCCCATGGTGTCTCTTAGGCGGAGGAGATGATGGGACTACAGGTGACATCATTAAAGGAGCTGAGATCATTGTTGCCATTGAACTAGAGCCTTCAGTCCCATCTGTGACTGTAAGTGATCGACGGACAGCAACATGTGGGTAAGGGGCTCTGGATGGGCAAGGTGTTGCCATTGGGATGAAATCTTGCATTCGGGGTGCCATCACTTGTGTGATGGCCATACCTGTAGGGTATGCCCCGGCCATTACCATGGGAACAGACAAATGTGAACAGTCAGACATTGCACGTCTCACTGCAGTCCGCTGAGGAACGTCATTACCTTTAACTGTTTTGGTTTCTCTGTTTGACGAAGCAAAAGGTCCTTTCCCCATACTTTCAAAGGGCTTTACAGCCTGCCCCATGGCAGAACTTACAACATTTTTCTCAGTTACATTGTCTCTTCCTGTTCTCTCTGTGTCAGTATGGCTTAAGTTCTCTCTGTCCAGCCTGTTGCCTCCTGAAACACTCGGCACAGCATTACCAGCAGCTTTGTGGGATGGAGACTGGGATGCAGGTGCATGTGTTGTAGGCCCCGCAGTGCTACCAGCTTTGCAATCTTTCAGCTCAGACGAAGGAAGAGTATTCACATCTAAAGCCGACTTTCCAAGGTATGGCTTGAGTGTTTTACTTCCAGGTTTACTTGCATTAGAATCGTCTTTCAACAGGCTTCCAGTTGTCATCTTTGCATCCTTCCTTTCTGCTTCACTTGAAGCTGTATCTCTGGTGATGGATGGGTTTAATGATATTTTTTCCTGATGCCCAGACACCTGGTTAGAAGCCGGAGGAAAGATGTGTCCTTGAATACCTTTTTGGGATCCCTGAAGGTGAAACGCATCCATGTTTTGCTGGAGATTGTTTTGTCCAAAAGGTTTAGGGTCAAGGACAGAATTTGAAAACAGTCTCCCTGGTGAGAGAGAAGGAGAGGGCGATGTTGAAACTGGGGAGGAATGTGATGAGAGGGGGCTGCTGGGGCTTTGCCCTGCACTCCCTAATACACTCCCAACCCCTCCCACCTTATGTGCATCTTCCCTTGGCCTTTCGGGTCTGGACCAGTCATCCTCTATATTCAGCAATGGTGTGGTGAAGCTTTGCGTTTCTGTTGCTATCATCCCGGATAAATTCCCCTCAGTGCCACCTCGCCCTAATTTCACCTCCTCTTCCACTGAAGTTATTCTTGATCCTGTCTGTGCTGTGGCAGCGCTCCCCCCTGATACCATCTGGGTTTGGCAATGCAGGTCACCGTGATGGGGTGCAGCTGGACCAGTGGGTGAGAGTGAAGAGGAGGGCATGACTGATGAGATGTTGGCGCTGGAGAGAACACCAGGAGGTTTGTGCTGCTGCTGTTGATGCTGCTGCTGATACCCACTGGAAGGCTGTCCGTAACCACTGTTTCCATTAATGATGCCAGGCTGCTGCCAGGGTGAGCCAGAGAGGAAAGACATTCTCCTCCTCTGCAGTTGATCTTCCTCTGTTGATCTTTGCTATAAGCTATTTGTTTGTCACCCTTTTCCGCTCTCTTGTCAATGGTAGTGCTTTTAGATTCCTCTTCCTGTGTCCTCAGTTGCTTCTTCTGCCCCAAGTGTCCTATCAGTCCGGGAGGCAGAGTAGTCTTTACTTACCAAACTGTTGTGATGTAGAAGAGAAAAGAAATGATCTCTTTTCAGATGTAGAGTGATCCGTTGCAGTTGTCTTTGTGTGCAACTGCATGGATGTCAGGCTCCTAGAGTGCATGTGTGCTTACAGGCAAAAGGAAAGAAGTGCATGGGAGTGAAAGAGCAAAAGTGTGCGTGTGTGTTTGTGTCTGGTTGTCTCAGCTTCTCTCTGAGCGCTGCACAGATCAGCTGTAGGGCTAAATTGCACCTTACTCTCCCTCTCTCTCTCCTTGACATCACAAAGTCACATGACCACCCTGAATATTCCCTCATTCGCTGGAGCAAAATTTCAGCATCCAGCCCCTGGTGACAAATGTGCACGAGGAAACACAAACTAAGAGACAAGCTTTACACACACACACACAGATCCATGGCTGTCACAGTTGCTCAGCTGCTTTGTGACAGCCACTATTCACATGTTGATACATGGTGAGAGACACAAGGAGAGATTAGCAAGACAAAACTGAAGACTATTATGATCCTGACTGATCAAAGTTGTGTTACTTAGACTTCAGGGAAAACTATAAATACAAAATTTTAATTTCATTCTGGAGGAAAAAAACTGTTGAAAATGTGTTTTTTTTTTTTTACGAAAAATACAAATATCAGTCATGAAATTTCAACAGACACACTTTGAAATCATCGTATCTGGCAAGCCCCTCAAAATTTCCTTTGAAATGTAGCACCAAGATGTTAGCAGCTGATGATTCATATCCTTAAAGTGTACTTTTGGGCCTCCATGGACTGAAGTTCTCGTCCTGCACATCCCACAGAAGCTCAATTAGACTGCAATCAGAAAGATTTGGAAGGCGAGTGAAACTTTTCAAATAACAATTGAATAATCTCATTTTTTTTATTGTTTTCAACTTTGCTCTGGTAGCTGGTATATATAACAAAGTAGCATTCGCATGAATGACAGAAAAAGAAAGTGACATTAGCCCACTTGGATTATTTTGTGAAGAACTGTTAGTTTCCATGCTAGCCTATGTGGGCCAACATGGAGCAAATGCATGGATTTTTTTCTATTATGAACACTATCTTGTTCCATGTAATAAGGTATAATAGATAATAGTGTATATCCAGCCCATGCCATTCCATATTCTTCTGCTTTATCCGGGGATGGGCCACAGAGGCAGCAGTCTAAGCAGAGATGCCCAGACCTCGTGATCCACACACACTTCCTCCAGCTGCTCTGGGGGGACCCCTAGGCAACACCAGGCCAGCTCGGAGACATAGTCCCTCCAGCATGTCCTGGGCCTTCCACAAGGCCTCCTCATAATGGGACATGCCTGAAACACCTCCCGAGGGACGCGACCAGGAGGCTTCCGAAACAAATGCCCGAGCCACCTCAGCTCGCTCCTTTTGACGTGGAGGAGCAACAACTGTACTCCGAGCTCCTCCCGGGTAACTCGGGTACATCCTTGGATAAATATTTATAATTGCCACTTGATATTAGGTACAACACACAAGATCCAGGGTCCAGTTTTGAAGACACACAAACAGTACTATTAAGTTAGGATAATAAAGTCAAATGTTACTAATGCCTTATGTTTGTTGGACATTCTTTTACCAGGTAAATGAAGTGTTTGAATTATAAAATGTTTAAGTGACAAATGTTGATGATGATCTACACTAATCAGAACTAGTGGCGGCTGGTGTAGTTTGCTCCGGGGGGGGCAATAAATTCAAAATAGATGTTTACAAAAAACCAATCAAACGTAAAGCTGCTAAGTGATCACACCAGTATATTTATATGAATGCCAACAACAAAAACATCATAAAACATAATTTCATGTACATGGTTACTTTTTGTACATAAATATTTCCCTTCTGAGGCTTTTGAAGATAAATCCATTTTTTGCATGGTCTAATATTGTTTCACAAATCAAAAAAAAAAAAAAAAAAAAATATATATATATATATATATATATAATATAATATAATATAATAAAAATAATAAACATCTAGAAAAAACACGTTATATTATATTATTTTCCATGTGAATCCCAGATTGTTCATTCTTCTTTGCCTTTTTTAAAAAGTGCTTTAAATCAGTCCTATCTGTCTTTATCCATGCAGGGAAAGCAGCTGGAGGCAGGGAAAGCAGAATAAAGTGTTAGCCTCGCTCAATGCAGTTAGCCAAGCCAACCCTAGCTAAACCAGGTCCTGGAAAAGGACGGTTCTTGTGCTATGTCTCTATGTCTCTCTCTCGCTCCAATTCGTCTTCAGCACCCGTGACTTGACCTGTCAATCACCCACAAAACGTCTGCACTGTGGCGGGAGGTGGTGAGCTAATACACTTCCTGTCAGCTCGAGCTCTCCTACTGTATACCTTTGTATTGCAGAGGAGCTATTGCGCCTGTACAACTTTTAACCAGAGTTGATGGGCAAAGATTTTTACGCCCTAGTGTGTCACCAATCCGACGAAAAATGGAATGATGCTTTACTAGTCATTAAACATTAAATATGTATCTTTAATATCTAAAAAATACATATTAATATATTTCAAAATATTTTAAATGTCCATTTAAAGTTAAGTTATATGACAAAATATATATTTATCTTTTATATCTTAATTAGGGTTATTGGGTGAGTGGGGCGGCACCCTAACACCCTCTATTGGCCAGCTGCCACTGATCAGAACCATACTGGGTTTGTGCCCTGCATACACTCATCAAAACAGAATTTTGGACTACAAAACAATACCATGTGTTAACACGAAACATGGCCTTCATTTTAAGCAAATTTGAGAAAAATAAATTCACATTTAAGGTTAGAGGGAAAGAAAAATCTGACAAAAATCAATTGTGGAATTGCAAAGTTGGCAAATGCAGAATAAATATTCAAGAAGATTGTAATACTAGAAGTAAGGACAGGAGGGGGTTCAATAAAATGGGGAAGAGTATACTTTATTTTCTGCAGACTGGAAAGCTTAAGCTAAATGTTGAAAGAAAGATACCAAAGATGAATCCATAGTATTCATAACTTATTAGCTTCCCATTCGGTGTGGTGCTTTCTCCTGCAGTGAAGTTGTCATTATAGAGGTACAAAAGTGTGTATAGATAATAATTTACTGCATTTGAGCTATTAAAAATTTACAGGTTATTCTGACAGCTTTGACGAGTAAGCCATAGTAGGATGGGTTATGAGAGCTTCATCAATATAGTCTTGAAAACTGTAAACTCTGAAATCAGTCTGAATCTTTTCTAGAACATAGAAACGTGATTTTGGACCAAACCCTGTGCAGAATAATATTTATATAAGCTGCTGTCCAACAAATCTTTTAACATTATGGGTTGTCATGTGTTCCATATTAATAAGAAAAATGTCTTTGCATTATTTTTGAGGTATTTCAGTGGCTTATGACTGTAAGATTTAAGACATTTTTAAATCCAGTATTAATATGACAAACCTACCAGCATTTTATTTTAAGACTGACTTAACAAAACAGATAATCAGTAATTTTATGTTAACATACATTTTGGTCCATGTCTGCAGTGGCTGGGCTCTTTGGAATTCATATCCACTGATATAAGAAACATTTGTATTTTAAGGCTATCAGCGTATTTGACTTATGTTTGTAGATGTGTAATATAAAAAGTTTAATGTAATTCTCATGCACGGTACTTAAATAATGTTATTGCTGTTATAACTAAGTAGTTTCCGTTTATGAATTATAATCCAGGCAGGACCTTCAAGCAGCTTCCTCCTCCATCTAGTTATTTTCCGTCCAACTGCTTTTTTTCCCAAAACACACTTTTAGGTCTTAACACACACGCAAGATGTGTACCGGTATATGTGTTTGTGGTTAGGGCTGCTATCATGAGGGTTTTATATTTACACATTATTGTTCACTAAGGCCCTAGAAATTGAATAATAATTGGGACATTGATTAAATTCTACTGAGATTTTCCAAACTGTCAAGTTTATGTAACATGAAGAGCATTTATTTTGTTAATATAAAGTGCCTTTAAAGTGAAACCGTGTGGAGTCCAACATTTAGCTTTGCTTTAATTGAAACCAAAAAGCGCCCTCATGGAAAGAACACAAGGAAACCTCGGCTGAACATTTTGGGATATGAGAATGACCTTGACTGATTTCTATTTAAAATGACATATTAAGGACTATGATAAGATAATGAACAGTCATTTCTTATACTTAGAGGAAGTTAAAAATGTAGCTGGCATACTGTAGAATTATTTCAGTCATCGATTTTAATAAAATGCTGGCAAGGTTTACTGCCAGCCAAAGGGTTGAAACTCCACAAATCATCAAAGTCCAGTGGCAGCTTTAACTGTGCCCTCCCCAATTACTTACAACCCTGGAATACATCAATTGTGGAGTGAAAAAAGATTCATGGCTTTCTCTTTTTTCTTCAAATCAATACCACAGTGTGTTATGCATTTGGAATGGGACATCTTTACTCTGGCACCCCTAAATAGAATTTACTTAATAATCACATTCTCACCTAGTTTATTAATTAGTAAATTAAGTCCAAATGACCATACTTCATTTTTAGCATCAACCCATCTGTTCTGAAAAATCCTCGAGGGAATGTTAGCCCTAAATTCCATATCCTCAGTTATTCATCTGCCCTGCTCACATACCCTCAAGTCCGCCCAATGGATCAAATAGGTTATGTTAATTAATGAGAACAGTTCCACGTTCTCCATAGCCCCATCAAATGTCATTGTGCACAGACGTGGGCAGATACAGTTGCTGTTGCTTTTCACAGATGTGCCGAGGCAGTCTGGCAGTCAGGGGGATGTGGAATCTGGGTGTTAGACAAAATTAGTGTACAAACAGGAACACATTATTCAGGAAAAAGGGTGTATCAGACTTGGGATCAGGGTACTGTTTGGCCAGGAATAACAAAGTGTTTCTCAAAATGTCTATTTCACTACATTCTTATGGGATTGTCAGACAGGAGCAGCGTGCGCATCGCTGCACCCTGCTACCCATTATTTTTAACTGCGTGCACCAAGCAAGGGCACAGAAGTCCTGCGTCCCCCAAACGCAGCACAAAGGAGCCTGTGCAAGATATGGTCAAAGTTCAGCCATGCTCAATAGAAACCTTTTAATCGGGGGAAAACCTGAAAGCAAAATACTGTAGAGAAGCTAAAATTGTGTATGTGATTTGTATTGATCATTGAGATCACTGGTTCGATTATCCCCAA